GAAACTATATGTGACGAGAGTGGACAGCCTATTCACAACTTCTCAAAAGGCTTGGAGAGTTAGGCTGATCACTTTGAAAGGCAATTTAATTGGTCGGAATTGTTAGATTTCTCGCCGGCTACTGATCGTCCCGTTCCATGGGCTGTCCCTTTGGATTCACCCTCTCGCTCAGAAGTCGAACGTGAAATCACACTGTTGAAGTTAAATAAAGCTGCGGGACCAGATGATCTACCTCCAGCCCTCTTCAAATTCGGGGGACCTGCTCTTGTGAATGATTTATACGAGTTACTAGTGAAACTGTGGGAGCAGGAAACTGTCCCAACCGACTGGAGCCGCTCCGTCATAGTCACAATTTTCAAGGGAGGCTCACGATCGGAATGCGGCAACCATAGAGGAATCAGTCTGATCTCCATCGCCTCCAAATTGCTTGCCTTTGTCATCCTTCACAGACTGACTGGCACTCGTGAAAGCCATATTCGTAAAGAGCAAGCCGGGTTTCGTCGAGGTCGTGGCTGCATTGACCACATCTTCACTTTGCGTCAGTTGTTGGAGCACCATCACACATATTGGCGGCGCACCGTTGTCGTGTTCCTCGATATCAAAGGTGCATTTGATTCGGTGGATAGACGTGCACTTTGGGACTGTCTACTCAGGAAATGTGTACCTGAGAAATACGTAAATATTATCCGAGCATTATATGCGCGTAGCTCAGGCAGAGTGAGGGCTTACGGCAAGCTGTCGTCGCCCTTTAATATCTCCAGCGGCGTGAGACAAGGATGCCCGCTGTCACCTTTCCTCTTCAACTTCGCTATTGACGAAGTCATGAAAATCGCGTTCACAGGACACGACTTCAAAAGTGTGGATCTGATCCCAGGAGAACGACTTCGTGACTTAGAGTATGCTGACGATATTGCCCTAATCTGTGATGGCTCTCAGACGTGCCAAGCGGCATTGGACAGATTAACACTGACTGTCAGCCGCTTCGGGCTTTGCTTCGCACCCTCGAAGTGCAAAGCGTTTCTCCAAGATTGGTCTGGACCGTCTCCTACGCTGACCCTTGGTGGGGATCAGCTAGAAGTCGTTCAAAAATTCAACTATCTTGGAAGTTGTATCAGCGCCCGTGGGATTGAAGATGAGATCACGAACCTTATAGCAAAAGCTCGAAGCGCTTTTGCCAACCTTCGTCACTTATGGCGCCGGCGCGACATCCCCCTCGCCCTGAACGGTAGAGTGTACAATGCAACGGTACGTTCGACACTACTGTACGGTTGCGAAACCTGGCCCCTTAGATCAGCGGACCTGAAGAGGCTAGTTATGTTCGACCATCGGTGCCTTCGCAATCTAGTTCACATCTGGTGGGAACAACGCGTGAACAAGGAGCGTGTTCGACGCATTGTTTACGGCACAGGAAAAAGAAATGAACCGCTCCGCACCGTTATTTCACGCACCAGGCTCCAATGGCTCGGCCACGTGTTACGCATGCCAGCCCATCGACTCCTGCGACGTACATTGTTTGCGCGCCGGGGGTGTGGATGGAAGAAGAGGAGAGGTGGCCAAGCGATGAGTTGGTCGAGAGGAAAGAAGGCCCTCACTTCGGAGTTGGCCTCAGTTGGAGCGTTACTGCTCCCTGGTTGGGGTCCGAAAGACGATGAACACGCTTGGCTGGATACACTTGTTGATATGGCTAGGAGCCGACCTCAGTGGCGTTCGTGCTGTGAGTTTCTTCGTTCCACCCCATCCCTCTTATACACTCCCTCCAACCACGATCTCATTATTTAACATGTTATAATTTTGCATAGGAAATTACATTTTTGCTGCATAGTAGCCGGCAGATAGCTTACCGGAACGATGCCCATCCGTTACCGGTAGCTCAGCTGGCATGCACCTGTAACATTTTATTCCCTTGTTTTCCCTTAGGTATTGGGGCACAGTAGCTGAGGTGTTTCAGACCTCTAGCTAACGTGTATAGTGTGTGTGTGTGCGTGTGTGTGTGTCAACAATCGCTACACCCCAGTGTATTCCTGAACGTTTACGCTCGATTCTTTGTACTTTTACATTTATGTAATTTATCAAAGCATTCATCTCGGCAGACGTTCGGTAGATGATCCCGATATATTTTGGTCTCATCATATTCACCCCAACCATCCTACGGGACGTGTCAAGCACTTGGTTTTATCGCCCGCTAAATCATTCTTCATTGTTCATTGTTCAATGGACTACCATAAAACGAATTTGGCTCTACTGGATCACTCCAGACCAGCGATTGAGCAGAAGTGAAGACAGTAATGTTCGAGTTCCGACTTCTGGTCACCTTGTGTGATCATGCCCAACTGTGGCGCAACTGTGTCATTCGTCTCATTCGCGCACCAGCCGGTCGCTCACGGGACTACCCCAAGACGTACGCAAGTCTTGCCTTCACCCCTGTCATACCCACGCGAGCACACATGCAGCCACAGCCCAGGCGATGGAACCAGCTCGACTGGGGGGGGGGGGGGAACTGGTCACCAGTTCCAGTTCAATTAATCAAATCGAGAATGAGTCAGCTCAACAAAGCAAGCCTATGGAGTGGTAGTGAAGGCGACCGATCAATTTCCACGGATGTGCAACTTTCGCACTTAGGTTGCGGCACGTGGTGGTTCGCCTGGGCAGGCTGAACTGCTGATTTTCGGTAGTGTATGGGTAGAGTGCCCCATGCTGAGGCTGATGTTGCATTCTTGATGCTTCTTCACCGCAATTGGGCTAAACCAACTTACACTTAAACTAGGTCTTTTTAGGCGGGATAAATATCATTCCAGTTTATTTGGTTTGTTCTGCCTATCTGAATACTCTCCCATTAACTGGCCACGTTGCTTACATTAATTGCGCTTATCTTCGGTAAGTTTGTTGCATGTTCTAACATTGTTTAACTAACTTGTGGCCATTTTTATTCTTTATCGCGGATTCGTTGCCAACCAACTTACTTTATATGCTAATTTAGCGAAGAGTTATGCCATTGTATCTGTATGCATTATTGGATTCGTTTTATTTCATCATGTCGTTCCAGGTGATTGGCTGTTGTTTGATATCCCCGGTGTGGCTGCGCTTGATGTGCATGTTGACAAGGTGTCTACCTGTCTATTACCCACTACATCGTTCATACTGGCTCCAGGAGACAGTTGGTCCTTGCTGAAGGGGACGGGGTGCATGGTCCTTGTGGCCGTGCTAGGCTCGAAGAGTGGTTCCATGCACTCAGTGTGGAGCGGACTACGGTCCAGCCACCGCCTTGTATGCGCTTGATTTCCCAAATACAGCGTGCTTGTTTTTGCCTGTGAAGGACTGTGGGCCGGCTCCGTTGATGAAACGTGGCTCCCATCCACATGCCTCCCGGTCTTATTCCTTCGGGTTTAGACTGGATATGGGGTGTGTGGTTGGAGCTGTGGGTGGTGCAGCGCAAGCCACCCATGGTCTCTCTGTAGGTGCAGGCGTCCTGTGGATGGCCACAGTGACAGGCAAATCCGGAACTGGATACCGCCTACCATGGGTAGGGTGGTGCGTCCCAGTTACCATCGGTAACTTCCAAGAGAGGCAACCAAGGAAAGCTTTTACGTGTGCCCCGCCCAGTCTTCGCACCTGTCGTACACGGCCTGTTCGGTTGACAGGAATTCCCTCTAAGTGTTTTGAGCGAGGAAGATTCCGGAATGACTTGTGTAACCAAGGTACACTATCGTTTCTCCTCGGAACACTCAACTGCTATTGGTGTCAACCTGCGCATTCTCAGAATCCTGTTTGTTGTTCCAAACTTTCGTAACTGCGACGGTTGCATGTGGTCCGCGCTGTTTTCCGCATTTGTGAGTTTAGTATGCAGTTGGGCCGTTCCAGGAAGCACCTGTCTCGTTTATATATATATATATATATATATATATATATATATATATATATATATATATATATAGGTGTGAGTTAAACACTAGCGCCTGCGACAAATTTTTGCTTGCACCAATCTACACAGCTAGTGTTCGCCCAAAATTGTCATTCACAGGATATGCAAACACCATCAATCGAATCACGTGTACCTCGCCATAGTGCTAAGTACATACCCGTTGGTAAATCGATAGTCCTAACATGTCCCCACTTTTAGGCTCATTGCATGTGGCCGTGTCACGTGACCGGTGAGGTAGATGGGCTTTCCAAAAATGAGATTTACACTGGGATACGTTGTTGGCTTCCCCGCGGAGGGGTGCAGTGTTTTGATCCCTTCTGTCAGATTACGTGTCTGCTACCATTGTTGTAAATAACACGTTGATAAATCGATGACCTCCGTTTAAGTGGACATGGACTACGCAAAAACGCCACGTGGTTTGGCTCAATACGGACGTTGCTGGTATATGGTGGAAGCATTTCGAATCGGTGTTGAGGCTAGTTGGTTACGTGAAAGGAAATAAAGACAATTGCACAGGAAAACGAAACGGCATGTGTGCAAATATCCAGGGATTGGGATAGGACAAGACGAAAATGAAGCATAGATTTAAAAGCGCAATTACATGGTATACGTGCAGTAGGAATTCTCGCTAAGACCTGAAGACTGGGGCTGCGATTTCTTGTTGCTACTGTGATAAATTCTGTCTGGGTTCGACCGTAATGTCGGTAACGGTATCACATATTCCCAATGAAAGTGAAGTTGTACCTTGGTACGCAAAACAACGGATCGGCTAGTCACGATGTATCTAACAGGCTTAACCACATGTTCGAGCGCATTTGGGTGACGCAGGGTACAGTTCCACTTCCCTTGACGAAGAGAGTTTTGTTTCGTACGCACGTGAAAAGTACGGTTATGATTTCACCACTACAATGGACGGGTATTTTATGTCGGTGGCTTGAGCGCTGAAACCAGGGTGGTTTGGCTTCACAAACATTTAACGGTCAATCATCTTAAACCCACCATCGATTTTGTGTTTCTGTTATTGGGTAGCGAACAAAACCGTTGCGCTACAGTACGTGTCATGTAACACTACGAGACTCACTTTTTCTTGTCCAGTTCCTCACAGATCGCTTTGAAGGATGGCCTTGCTTCCTCCTCAATGATACCAAACTCCAGGACGCCTGGTTGGAAGCTCGAGCCCAGATGAATGTCGGATCCCCTTTCTGTCAATTCTTCCGCATCTTCTACTGCTACTTCATCATGATAGTTGCTTTCGATGTCATAAGTAGTGCGGTTGTCCGTTTCGAATTCGTGTGCCTCATCGTCCATGTCTTCCGCGCTCGTTGAGGTCTGGTTCAGAGGTTCATGTGTCATTCTGTCAGAGGCAATCTCGGAAATACCACCAGTAGTACTCATTGAGATGTCATACGGAGCCGTACATGTGGCTCCTTGCTCAGTGGTCCCGCTCACTAGTGTCTCAGTAGGTGAAACATAATCAAAGGAACTCTCTGCACAGAAGTTGTGGTCCAGGGTCAGTGATTCGGCTGTCTCGACCGTTTGGTTGACCAAATTATTTTGCGTGGTCTGTTCGGAAGTGCTCTCCGGTTCCGCACAAGCTTCGACCGGTATTTCCTCCTTTGAATCTCTAAGGTTTTGCTGCGGCTGCTGAGATCCAGAAGATTCGGCTAGTCCAGCAGCTTTGGGTGTCTGGTCGCCTATTGACTTGACCAGCTGATAGGAACTGCAGCTCTCCTCACTGAGGTGGCCGTTTTCCAAAAAACCTTGATCTACTTCTGGAGCTGTCTCTGAATCACGATAGCTGCTTTGACTACTGATCTTCTCCAGACTGTTTTCCCTTGTATCCTGTGGAATTAAGGGATCTTCTACAACACAAAATTCGGTGTTCACCCTCTCGTCGGTAGCAAAAGTTTCAGCAATGTCACCAGATATCAGGTAATCTGCCTCAGTCTCAGGGCGTAGATTGGAGTCTGCTTGCGTTGAGTGGTAAGCAGTCGATATAGGCAATTCAGCAGCACTGTTACACGTGTTTCGTGCCTCTGAGACTCTTTCAGGTTCTTCGTGATCCGTATCCTGAAAAGAGGCGGGAGATGGAGGCGGCGGGAATTCAGGGTTGTTTAAAATCTCATCCGTTTTTCCTAACACAGCTTTTTTTGCTGTCGACTTTTCACTCTTCTCAGAAATATCCTGACTGTCGAAAGAATTAGAATTTCCCTCCGGTAGAACCAGAGGTGGTTCTTGGAGTAGATCGTCCACTGCACAGTCGAAACCACTGAATCCAACCGATTCGCAGAGGGCACGGGACTCTGTTAGGCACTCCACGTTGGTGGTATTTTGTGTAGAAATTTGGGATATGGGGTGGGAGTTTTTAGTGCCTTCCGCCAGGGTTTCGTCTACTACTCTAATTACGCTTGGTCACAACACTGGTTTTCAACAAGAGGGCGAGCAAAGTCCTTTCCAAATGGTTGAATTCCGCTAACCTATAAATAAAAATGCGGTAGATAATATTCACCCAAAGTTAGAAAATAACAGTGATGTCACTATCAGGGCACCTACTATTTAAACTTTCTAAGGGCAAGGAAATGACTGAGAAGATTGGGAGAAATTGTGAAAACAAAAGAGCAGAGGGAATTTGAAAGCGATAGATCTGCGAGGTCTTGCCCCAGTGTCTTGACGGCGTCGGGATACTGTGTGGTACACAACCACTGTCGTGTGAGGCCGTGACTTTGGGGGCCAGCCCTGACTTCCCCAGCGCTACATCACAGTTAACTTGTAAGTCATGACAGTGCCAGCGTCTCCCATCCTTCAATAGCATAGGCTACTGGCTGGCGGCGCAAATCTCAAGTGTCCCTAGGTCATGGGTTCTGTTCCCGATAAAGCCGACGGGTGCGCAAAATAGACGAGTACCAGTAATAAGAAACGGCCCTCTAGTGCTTCTCCAGTTGAGTGGAGGACTAGCTAACCTGGAGGCCTCTGGGATAAGTTTCATAAGACCCCTTTCGTATTCGTTGACTCTATAGTCTTACTCCCAAGAAAGCTGGGAGCTTTCTCACCCACAGAGTAAAATCACAGTCTCGCTTGAGGTCAAATTCGGACAACCAAGTGCTGTTTTCCGGCCACAGTCTTTGATATGTCTGAGGTGAGGGTCAACTGAATCTGAGTTTTGATGGGGTTGCGTTATATTAGCCAGAGGTCTACTGGTGTGACGAGTGCGGTAAAAAACTTCCTATAGAAGGGTTGCTTTCTCTCAGCATCGGATGCAACTTGTGGCGCACATGCTCGCCATCACTAGAGATAAGCACACACTTCGTAAACTGTTCATCTTTGTGGTAGAACTTCGTGCAAGTAAGGCCACCAACATATACACAACCTATGTTGAGGATGAGATAGTTTGAGCCGTGACCGTCTATCTGTCTAGTATGGGTAGTCCTGCAGACTCATAGAAAATGTTATCTAGTGTAGCTCAATGGACAACGAAGGTACGCATTCAATCGCGCTAGGTCAAGCTTCACCGTCGTTGCGATAGAGGTGGTCCCTTGTTCAGACCCATTAATCGTGTACGAGGGCAGAAAATATTTAGTCAGGTCATACCTCGAAGGTCCAGAGCTACACATACCAAGGGTTCTCAACTGTCATTGAACCAAAGCTTCCATTTACACCGAGTGGGAACTTGAGGCGTGATGTTAGCAATTAATACTCTGTTAGAACTAACAGACTATACCGCAAACAACGCTATAAGTTGCCTAAGCAAAATGCAACGACGTGGAAAGGAACTGAAAAACCTGTGATAACGTTTGGGGCACCGTATGCGGGATAATCAAAGGCTGTTCATTAGATTTTACTGGTTCTACTGCTTGCATCTCTGGACCGGTATTTGCCATATGAGAATTGGGCCGAGATTTACTTCGAGAAAGATATCATAGTATCTGAATTGTAATTGTGAGCTCATTTTAATCGTAACAGGTCTTCGATTAAGGAGAAAAATAAGAAGCGGTTCATCACAAGAAAAACGGTATTCCACCGGATAGAACTGCACCGCAATGGGGCATCAACGCAGGTAGCATTCAGTTGTACATGGTGGGTACTCCATGACAACTCGAAATGCGCTACTGCTATGGAATCGTTGCATTCATAATCCGTCGAATGAGGGCAGGTGTAGTTAGTAAATGATAGTCTTCGCAAGCTTCCATCAGGGTACATTTCATTACGCGCCCTTCGTAAGTGTGACGTTGATAGCTTCTCAGAAGACAAACCGAGGGACTCCATACAGGCGCTGTGGCCATAAGTAACTGAGTATACGAACGAAGATGTCCAAGCCATCAAAGGATCGTTGGTTGCATTGGAATCATATTTGCATTCTCCAGGCTTTTTGCGCAGACAGGGTAGTTAGCAGACGCCACTCGGATGAAAGGTATTAAATGAGGATTTGCTTGCCTTGGTAGCTGTATTGGTATCGCAAAGTGAAGAAACCACCATTCCTCAAAAATTGCTTCACCTGGAGGTCGCATGAAGGCCGGTTGTAATTTGTGATTAATTCAAAGCAGCTAAGTCTGTTTATGCGACTCGCCACAATTTGAAACGTGCCACCCATCTAGATCTAATTTTGAGCATATAGTGATATTTCTAAAAACTGCTACGACCTCAAGTTGAGACTGATGTTGCATTCATGATGCTTCTTCATCACAGTTACGCTAGACCAACTTACACTTAAACTAGGTTTTTTAATCTGCATAAAGTTCATTCCACTGTGGTTGTTTTGTTCAATTCTGTTCTTCTGCTGCATATTCGGTGTCAATTTTGCGTGTTTGCTTTCCAGTAAATTCTGTTGGTTGTTTGATATCCCCGGTGTGGCTGCGCTTGATGTGAATGTTGACAAGGTGCCTACCTGTCTAACATCCTCCACCTCGATTACTGGGTCTAGGAGACTGTGAATCGTTGCTGGAGGGGAGTGGGTGTGCCGTCCTCGTGGCCGTGCTAGGCTCAAAAAGTGCTTCCATCCAGTGTGAAGCGCACTACGACCCAGCCACCGCCTTGTGTGCGCTTGATTCCCCAAATACAGCGTGTTTATGTTTGTCTGTGACGGAGTGTGCGCCGGCTGCGTTGATGAAACACGACTCCCATCCACATGCCTCCCGGTCTTATTCCTTCGGGTTTACACTGGATATGGGGTGTGTGGTTGGAGCTGTGGGTGGTGCAGCGCAAACCACGCATGGTCTCTCTGTAGGTACAAGCATTCTGTGGAGACCACAGTGACAGGCAAATCCGGAACCGGATGCCGCCAACCATATAAAATGACCTTCTTGTGCTTTATACTGCACTACGACGACCGAGTCTTTCGGTGGCATTATCATTCGTGTCTGCAACACGTTTCATGAAACCACAGGAAGAATCACCTACTATCTTTCTTTTGAGCAAGAGTCATAATATCCTGCATTAGGTGCAATTGAAGTGAATCTGCGTATGTTCCATCCGACAGCGTTTCTCAACACCGTCCCTGCGTAACTCAAATAATATTGACTCTATCACAACACATATAGTAAATGCGCTCTCAAGGAGCCCCAATACACCTTTTGTTCTACTCGAAAATGCCAACCTTGAAGCCCCACTTGCAGGTGAAGATAAATAACCCCACACAGCTTACCCCTAACCTCATTGGTATTCTTCCACTATTATGTCCCCCATGCATACCTAACAATTCGCATCTTTAAGTCGTTCTGAAAGGTGAAACTAGCCCATTAGTAATTTGAGGCCGGTTTTTGCTAACCTCTTAAAACCTGTCACACCCTCCAGTATGATGACATCCTGCACTATTATGAGGCAGGCTTTTCGTTTACTTTTTTCTTGATACATACATTCTTTCATTGATATCTTCATTACGTTTTTCTTTTTGTTTTGTTTTTTCTTCATTGTTGGTCACGACTGAGTTGTTCTCCTAAGGTGATGGAATGAAGCGTCCAAGCAAAATGTTGACCTACAAAAGGCGGAGGGCCAAAAAGAACCCCCTGATGTATATAAAAAGGGTCCTGAAGAAAAACAACCATACACTCTGAACCGTCGAATCCACACCCACCTGGCATATGCCGCCAAAGCTCGGTCAATTCGGTCATCATGTACACAAAAGTGCAATGAATGAGGAACGGGCTGACTGGTTGGGTGGCCTGCTTAGCAAAAAATAATCTAAACGAGAACAAAAATCGGTGCCGGCCAGCCCGCTTCTAAGCCATACCGCCACACGATCAGATGAGCTATGGACGTGCGGATGAAGCCTCTCGAGGGATTGGCACGCATGGAAGTAAGTCCCCAGGCGACAGTCCCAGAGATGATCTGATTGCTTCTTTTGATCTTTGTTATCATACTTCCATCTCTACTTTGAATCTGTTTGACACTTCTCTTTACTTAATTTAAGTATAGGCACATATTTTCTCATCGACATCAGCCATTAATTTAGTATTTGGAGCACGTTCTTGATTTTATTGCAGTGCCTTTCCTTGTTTTATTGTATCTAAGCAAAAAGCCTGTTAACTATATGAACGCTTTCCTAATCACCCTGTTTCCGATATTTTGTACATGACCGTGATTTGTTGACCATGCCTTGATGGGGAGGTTTAGTATTGCACATAAGAAACGTTTATTCATTTATTTATTGCTGTATATTTCCCTCCCACCACAACATCAACGATTCGGATCCACTGCTGAGCAAACTATAAATCTTCACCTGCAATTGAATACTGAAAGGAAAACAGCTGAGCCCACTTAGTCTCACAACAACTCCGCGAACACACATTACATCTTGTTGAACCAAGTCAATTCAATATCCAGGTCTAGAAACGTCCACGCACTTCACTCTGCCTTACCTTTATGTGCTTAGTACCTTACATTACTCGTCCAACAAAGCTGCAGCTTTGAAAGTTCATCTGCAACTACACTAAGATATTAACCCTAACTTCCTCTCTTCTTTCGCAAATGAGCAAAATTGCACCAAGTATAGACAGTTCGACCTCTATTACTCTAGAATATTATGCACGAGTATGTGCTACTCGTCCGATTTTGGTTGATGGCTCCAGTTGATTCATCCGCTTTTCATCTTCCTTCCCTTTTCATGAGCCTGCTCTCTCCATGGTATCTCTGATCTGTATCGGAACAAAACCGAGGTTGCTCGTGTTCTGATAGGAAACGACAGGGGAAACCCCGAAAAGTCTTCCTAAACGTTACTACTGCATCCCTGTATAACCCCCAGACATTCACAACCCTGCATACATGAGCATCTTGCACTTGTCAATATGATAGAATGAGAAACCTACATTATTGTTATTATTAGTAACCTTAAAAGAACAATAACTAGCAGCATCATCAGTTTCATTAACAGTGAGGCCCGTCCATCGATACTTTATGCTGGTTTTTTTGCTTACATACAACCGGGTCGGATGGGTGGCTAGCGTGGGAGGGAGGAATTACAGGGAAAGGTCTTATGCAGCGCCCACCCTCCGGTTCAAAGCTGCCGATAACCACCGCGTAGTCACAAACGGGTGGCTATTCTGTGCCCATGAAACAGTATTGGTAAGCCGAGTTCCATCTTCCAATTTCTCGCGTTATAATAGCGCACACTTAGCAATATGTTTGTGAAAATATGGTGGAGGACAATCTGCCTCCAGCACGGTACAAATTTTAGAAGGCTGAAACCACTCGCGTAGCTCATTGCTCGGATCAAACGCTAGTGACACTGTCCCAGAGCTAGGAGTGGGAGAAGTTAGTTTCGAGTTAAAGCACCGTCCAATCTGCGACTGCGTGTCGCATCGAAAAAACCTAGCAAGTATGCCATCAACTACATAACCAATTCCTAACCGTTGTGTCACGCAGTGCACACGAATTCTGAGGGACCAGTTGTAGTGAGTTCCACCTGGGATCATTAAATTCAGGGTTCTAAGTTCCCGCTCACACTGACTGAGATGTCCAAACCTGAAACCATCCTCTTGGAGATTACATAGCACGAAGGCAGTAAAACCTGATTTGTCTAAGGCGTAATTTTAACCGTATCGACAAGCGGGAATTCGCATTAAAAATAAACCGAATTGATGGAAACTCTTCCAACCAAATCTTTTTTCCATAATTGGGAGATGTAAATGAACAGCTGTGGGTTTACATCCTCTTGTCAAATGTTCAGCATAAGTCAATAACATATATTTGACAACAAAACTCACTCGGAACCAGTTGTTGCTCGTTTGTTTTTTGATTCTTCCACAGCGGCAGGGACTACGCACGATTAACTGTATGACCGATCACGTGAATGACAAGGCCTTTCCTTAACGCGGGCACGCGGGCGCGCAGAATCACGTTCTGAACAGCCAACTTTGAGCGGATGGAGGCGAACACAGAGAACAAAACCCAGACGGCAGGCGTATGTGCAACCTCATGCTGTTTACTTCCCTTGCCTCCACCGATCAATAGACGTCCAAATCCCAGCGCCATAGACGGAGCTCGACGGGAAGACAAACAGACACTCGCAATGGGCGTGCGTGTGGCATCATGTGCATTGATGTGCGCACACGCTGGACGTGACTTGCAGAATGGTCTGGGAACTCGCTCGAAGTGGCCGGACTGAGTTTGGGCCAATAATATCGGGTAAATCGCAGCAACTGACTGCCGTTACGATTCTAACAGAATAAACACACTGCCGCCAACAACAGCGAGGCGCAATGAATTGTCCTGGTGTGACAGCTAATGCGATCGAAATTGAACTAGCATAGGAAATCTCACTTTAGTTTGCTACTAACCGAAGCACATTCGTACGCGATGTCTGGACGGCTTGATTTCCTTCCCTCAGGGTGGGGGTGGAAGTTTGTCTGGCGTAGCGCGCTACCAGAAGTTAGGTACCATCCGCAGAAACTGAACAAGTTGCTGCAGCGATGTAAACAACTGACGGAACTGTTAAGAGGTCTCAATGCGTTAGAGGCATGGTTTGCGAAGCCACAGAGCAGGCCAATCGCCACGTCGCGCCTGTGAACTAGCACTCAAACTGGGGGGTTATTCTAGAGCATTCGTTGTGCGAATAGACTGTGACGGGAATTCTCGATCTGGGCCACAAATCACCCTGATTTGAACCACAGTCGAATCCGTTTTTGGGAAATTATCTGAAAAAGTTAGATGTTACATGCTGACAGCATACAACACCGGACTTCAAGCTGGGGGTTTCGTACGTGTTTGCACTGGTCAGACTTGAGACCCTAACATTTGGAATGTTATCCAATGCATCTACTCCCACGCAATAAAACAGCTTTTGAAAGTACATGTCTGCATGTTTCACATCTACGGCGAGCGGTCCCATGTTCGGCAGCTTAGTACAACCGATTAGAACTGGAGCTCTGTCGTATCATGTGCTACCGTTCAATGGTGCATAGTGGGATAAAAAGCATAACTTTACAAGACCCACAGGATGGATATCCAAAAGAAAATTAAAATCAAAATGTTCCAACATGGAATGTGAATTAGTAATAGTCAAGACATTGCACTTTAACACATCGTTGTGTAGCTTTTATCACTAAGATGAAAGTCCAGTAGTCTTTCGAACGTCGTGACGTCTAGTGCATTCATCACATTTGTTGGTAGTAAACTCCAATGCGAGCAGATTCTATGTGCAAAAATTACTGTTTACTATTCAAATGGGAGTGTTGCGTCATTAGTTTCAGGTGATGACCTCTGCTTCGTTTGTAAATAGCTATGGTCTGCAGTGATAGACATGGGTAAACGTTTGCACTTAGTATCCGAAATGTGAGAATGAGATCTCAACGAAGTCGCGGTATTCTGGGAAGAACACACCGAGTAAACGAAGACGCAGTTCATAACTGAGACCGGATAGACCACACTTTGCCTTGGTGGCTCTTAATTTGGGTTGCTCCAAAAGATGAATGTCTTCTTTTAACTGTGGACACCAAGCCTGACCTGCTTATTCAACGTATGGACGAATATACCAGTTACTCAAAGGTGAGGTGAGCTTGCAACAAAAGCCTTAAGTTCATGTTAGCCACATGCGCTGCTTTCGAACACGGGAGGCAGTTGCCAAGGCTTTCTTGCACGATGATGCCTAAGTCACGTTCCTTAGTCACGTGTTGCAGAACGTGTTGCCCAAAGGATAGGTGCTGATGAAACTGCTACGCACCGTCAGCAGGTGGCACTTTGCAGGGTTCCGTGGTAGCTGGTTCCTTTCTGCCCATTCGTCAATCCCGTCCAGATTGTTCTGGCGATAGGCACCATCGGATGCTGAACGAATTGCTGTCCATATTTTAGCATCATCCCAAAATATTCGGATCATGGAAAAATCCTTGCGGTACACTACTGGAGACGCACAGACTTACGGAGTGAGTGTCCGATAATTTTACATTGATTGTCTCTCGTGTAAGTAATCTTCCAACCAGCTGAGCAGGGGACGGTTGATACCGTAGGCTTTTGGAGGAGAACGAAGTGATTGGCCCTCTCGAATGTCTTAGAAAAGTATAAATAAATCGCATCTATAGGGACTCATTCATCAGTCGCCCTGGTTCATGAGTTCCGAGTAAGCACCGGATTGGTGAGGCAAGATCGTCTGCGTCTGAAACCATGTTGGGCATTAGAAATTATTTGCAAGCTTGCAACATATAGCATCGGTTCATCTGCGATTACCGATTCCATCACTTGTGATAACACAGGAAGGATGATAATAGGTCGGTAGCTGACAGGATCGGATCGCTTACCTCTTTTGTAACTCGGAGTGATGCTACAACGTTTCAACTCAGATGGGAGTGTATGGGAGTCAAGCAGATCCTAGAAAAAAGCTGCAAGTGGTTGTGCTATGATGAGGGCAAGGGTTTTGAGTACCTTTGAGCAGACCTTGTCGATTCCTGGGGCATCGTTTTCCTAGAGAGATTGTAATTGGCTGGCGACAGCTGATGGGGTAAATGTGTCGCTGGATAAGCGGATGGCACTTGCTAGGAGTTGGCAAGGCGATGGTTCCGTGGTATTTGTAGCCACGGAGCTAGCTTGCAGGAATACAGTGTCCGTGGTATCCACAGCAGTAGTCGTTAGGCTACTGGCTGTCTTAAGTGGTCGTATTCCAGGCTTAACCTTTTCTTCGATTCACCTACCTGTACAGCAGTTTAGTGTTACTGTTAAAATTGAGTATCATGCTCTCCTGTCATTCGTACTTCTTGATTCTGATGAGTGTGGTGCAGTAGTTTCTGATTATTTGTAAATCTGACCTGTGGTATCACATGGGATTAACCTATGTTGCCTCCAAATCTCTTCTGTAGATCCGTTTACATGTTCTGCTTCTGATCAACTGTTGGTCCGGTGCGATGCTCGTAATTGTACAACTTTTGTGGCTGATTGTATGACCCAGTTAATTTTACCTTCCACTTCATCGTTCGCCGTACTGTGTGGCTGGAAGTCCCAGTCAACGGTTGTCATTAGGTTGTGAATCTGGAAATAGTTCGTTGAGTTTCGCGTTGTTCGGCAACAATACTGGCATAATACACATAACCAAACTTTAGGACTGTATGGTCATTACGGCCCAGTGGAGGATCGGATGCCACTGACGCAACCATCAGCAGTTCATTAGTCAGAAGTAAGTCTAGAGGTGATGGCTTATTTGAACCGTGGTGTTTAGTTCGTCGATTCACATGGTTATCCAAAACTGCCATATCCGTGAATTCAAGGAGTTTTAATGTGAATGATAGCCTGCTGGAGACACTGATCCTACTGAAGGCACGAAAATTTGCTCATTACAAGCTAGTGGGAGTACTCTTTTGAAATAGCGGAGTGGAGAGCGTTTAATCGAACCTTTTCGCTGTCTGCAGAGGAATTCGGTGGCCTGTAGACAATTGCTAAGAAGCTAGCATAACGCGCCTACTGCTGTGATCCACCATCTTAACCTGCAAGCTGAAGTTAGCAAAATAATCCGTCGGAAATAACAACGGAATGTTCGTTAAGGACTTCACCTTTCAGGCAATCTCGATATTATATAGTCTCACCTCCACCGTGAGACGGACGTTCATTCCGAATGACCGATATTTCATAAAGTTTAATCTCCGGAGCTAACATGTCGTTTGAGAGCCAAGTTTCAGTGACTGCAATGATGACCCAAGTTGTTGTTTCGTGTCGATGGTGCAGTTCCGGGAACTTAGAATACAACCCTTGAGTGATAGCGCTGCAGTGTTGTATTTGTTAATGTATTAAGAGCTCGGTTCGATGTATTTGACTGACACAATTAGTGTCAGTCTGCTGACATCTTTTTGAAACGAGTGTTTGTATACTTGGCCGATTTGAGGTAGGAACAACCGAGTCTGGCTTGAAGTAATTGCCATAACCGTACTTATAGTGGCCCACGTTTCCTATTGTCATACCACGCTTGGATTGCCATCAATATAGTATCGGGCGAAGCCAAGGTAACTTTCAAAAGTTTTGGCCCGCTGCTGTGGTAATTTGGGGAGGCAACTAGACGAATGACGTCAAAAGCTAAGATATATGTGGTAGAACTCTGTGATATACTTCCGTGCTTCGATGTCGTGCTTTTGTCTTTCACTGTTATCGTCATGCTTCAATTCAGGTACACCATGAACCAGTACCACTTTCTTCATCTCATTCTGACTTGGAGCGCTGGGGTCGGACTTCCCTTTCTGTAGTACTCCCCATGGCTTGTCCGGAAGTTACGGGCACTGACAGAAAAGTTCACTAGAAAGTGGCTTGCTAGGAGAACATCCTCCAGCTCGTGTGTGCTGTCAAATGTTACCCGCAGTAACCGGTCTCTTACGTGAGGAGGTGGTGGATTCCGTGAAGTACATGCAAAACTGGTTGGGAGAGCTTTCAGCTGGAATGCACAGGTGCTCTCAGCCCAGCGGTTTTGCTCCTCGGTTTATCTACTGTTTAGCGACTTGCTAGTGGATTCTGGAGCGTTTGAACTTATCGCTGTCATGGCCTTTTTCTTACGTAGTAACTGCTTGTTTTGCGGTGTCTTTTGAACCGGGGGGTTTGTCGTGTGGGAGTGTTTATTTTGTCTTGTGTGGAACATAGGCCAAAACTACTGCAAGGCCGTTTATGTGCAACTCCGTTAGTCGCACCATCTGTAGGAGTCAAGTGTCGTTGCTCAGCTCGTAATGGTGATCGCACAAGTTTTGTGTAACTGCATGCCTTACCGCATTTCGTAAGATTTGGGGGACTGTTCAACCGGCCTGTCGTCACTGCTGTTTGCCATACATGGTGTTTATTTTCTCCCGACTGTGTAGCATCTTTGCTAGAGATTTTTGAGTTAACAGATCTTGGACTGGGGCTACGTAATACACTAATCCGCAACTCGAGTTCAGAGATTTTCCCTCCCAAGATCGCGACCAATTCCTTTTGCTCTGCTGACGTAACAGCTAATGTTTCACACCACACCGTAAACGTTTGAACAAGCCTATGGGACTATCTGAACATGTATCACAATACCACAACTACGCGTT